TCAATGAGGTCTACTGCTTACCTAAACCTGTCCATCTAGCACGATAGATGTTCTCGTTATTGGTTCTTCTTGCTATTTTAAAAATGAATTTACCGTTTCACTGTGTACGGAAACCAGATTTCGAAGAGTAACCATGTCGACTCCTAGCCACAAAACAGTAGGTAGTAAAACCAGACTTGTGTAGTTTCGTGCCTGTCGCCCTCGTGTCTGCTCGTCCTTACAGTGATGTTTTCCGTTTGCGATTTTTCAGCCACATCTGTCTGAGTTAAATGCAATCAACAGAGAAGTGTGTTACGTACTACGTCAGCTTAGCTGTCAAATACCGTTGGCCGCTCATTGTGAACCCTCTTTGCATTGTTTGCGTTCAGCCTCATCTACGTTGCCCAGGTCCATCCCTTATCCAAGCCACCTCATCTCTTGAGGCTGTCACCGATTTTTCCTGCCTCTTAAACTGTTTTGCCTTCCGATGTGTATAGGGCAGATCGCCAGCCATTGTTGTTAACGCAGCTTCTCCAGACTGCCCTGTGACTGGGAGAACATAAAGCAATTGAGAATCCTATGCCGGTTTGGGGACTTCAAATCCCTTCACAGGCGACACCGAGCCAATTCGTCAAACTCGCTGGACACCATCACATTTAAGTCAATACGCATGTATGTCAACTTAAACACAGTGCAATCACCAAAGCCTCGGCCTTTGAAAGGAACAACAAATTTCCAACTCTTTCCAAATGCTAGCATCCAATCTCAAAGGGTGGAATGCTTCGAGCAACTGGATAACAGTGACTACACATGGCGACTCCTCAGCATCTTGTGCACTATCCTTAACCGAAACATCAGTGACACACTCGTACGGTGTCGTAGCAATACATTTAAGTCAAGTAATCACAAACACCAACATCGGGTTAAAAAAACAGCCTCGACTAAAAGCCATGATAAATCAGACACATTGACACGTTGAAATATGGTTAGGTGAGGAAAATAGGCTCTAAGCAATGAGAGAGACAGCAAAATTCTGGACTGTAACATCAAGAAAACATTAATGCATTATGGGATAATCTTTTTTCCGAGTACCAATTGAGATTCCCTCGGCACTGGGACAAAAGCCCTAACCAATACCAGCAAGCAAAACTGGTCAAAGATCATGCAAATCAGAACTGTGGCTTATTGAGAGGCTGTGGACGAGGCAACCAGAAATGGTTGGATCCGAGGCAGTCCTATCGCAATATCCTCTGGCCACCAGGAGGGTGCGAAGGGTCGTACAATGTAAGTCATCGATAGGTCGATGGGCGCCGCTTCGGACACCTGTGCCGTCTCTGAGACAGCCACCACGAGTCTGTCGCCACTAGTAACCGCTGCAGCACATTCAGCCAACCGAAGGAGAGCCAAACCGTAGTGCTGAAATGGAGGGACGAGGACAGGAGATGGGTCTTCTTGACCACGAACCCAACCCACTGGTCGGCTCCCCACGACCTTGTTATCGGCTTTGGAAACGCGGAAAATTGGGGAATTCAGAGGAATGCTGGAAGCGAAGGAAAGGCGAAACTAACCACTGCTCTCTAAAGGCGGAAGATATGCAATTCCACAGGGAACCTTTCAGCTTCCTACAATTTAACTTCCAAATTCTTGCTCATTTTATGAGACTATCAATGAAACCAAATAAGATTAAAGGGATGAAAGGTGAAAAGAAAAGTGAGACAAAACGTGGACTCTAATATTACATAGAAGGCTTGGAAGACGATTCGAAAAGAATGGGAGCGATGCGTCTACGAGTAACACCAACAAATCGAGAACGTGCTGTCAATTCTTGACCCACGTAACAGCCCTTGGAGAAACTGACACCGTGACACAGATCGGCGTTTGCCTCCAGTGGGAGACTCTCCCCCAACTTGAATTCATCAACACCTTCAGGTACACCGAGACAGTATCGGGAGCGCCTGTATAGTGTGTCGCCGTCGACATAAGCAGTTTCGGGAGCGGCGGCTACAAAAACGAGTGATTATTTGATAAAACGACTGAGGAATGACAAGAAATCTAGCTTAAAGACTGTTTTGCTGCAACTCAAGGGGCTCAGACTCAGTCTTCACGATTTCTAGCACTCTGCTAGGCCCTCCTCCGTTCCCACAGAAGTTCAATCCACGAGTCCTACTAGTTGGGGCAACTTGGGCGAAAAAAATAAAAGAGGAACTCTACTCTAGTTTGCCAGTAGGCAAGATTGATAAACAATACGATGAGGTTGAGTCCATTAGAGACCTCGCGTAAACGCAAATCCTCTAAGCGTATACAAGTGGCCCAGGAGCTCCTTATCTAAGGATTTGCTTCCATACTTACCTTCATAAGCAGTTTCAGATTAATACTTAAAGAAAACAAAAATGGGCACCTTAAAGCAATATCAAATAGGGCTTCAGACATCAGCAGCACTAGGACGGCCAATATGCCAGAAGCTCAACAAACTCAGTCATAATATGTGATTTCTAAATGAAGTCTGGGTATCTACAAATCAAAATACTTCCAACCTGGACAGTATAACATTCTTGAGCACCAGTCAGGAACAGCACGAGGATCTTTCCCAGTGAAGAGGGCTCCATCAATACTCTGCTCTGCTTCCCCAGCATTCAAATTCACAAGCACTCGCAAGGTTGGCTCTTCTGAGATCTGAATCTGATCAACAACGCAATACCTTGACATGATGAACTTACCTTTTTCCTGATGTTGTAAAAGTGCAGCAGCCTAAGCAGAGTTGATTTACATTTGCTGTCGCATTCAATAATAAAATGGGGATCCTCATGGTCCTGGTGATTCACATGATAGATAATGGTATCGCTTAGCACACGTCCCTTAAGTTAAAGAGATAAACCGTTCAACCGCTTGTGTTAAGCATATCTCGAGCATAAACTTGACGTTGCAATCCAGCTAAATAATATAATACAGTAACTGCTGAAATTTAAAAAATACCCACATATGAAAATTGCAAAACCGTCACCGATAAGTGACCTTCCAGCACTACACTTTACAAATAGCAACGATCCAAATGCTGGCCTTATAAAACCCCTAGACTTTGGAACAGGCATGTCCATACCAAAATGCAATAGCCACAAGAATGAAATGAATGCAAAAAGAGCATTATGGCAGTTTATCATGATTCAGCAATATATTGGGATTTTAAGGTTTCTCCGATGCTTGAATACCTTGGCGTTGAGAAATAGTGAGTATATTAGGGAATTTTTGGTCGCTATTTGACGGGCGTCGTTCGTCATCAGACCTTGTAGAAAATCAACTGTGGCGCAACCCCTCAGACTAATCAGGTCGCGATTTGGGAGTAGAAAACATGAAGAAGCTCTGTTCAGACAATGTAAAAGACTTGTCTTGCGAAACGGCTTACAAAGAGACACCGGCAAACGTCCGAACAACATAGAAAGGCCTAAATACAAATAATTATGTAAAACCAAAGGATGACGAACAATTGATTAGGTGACAAAATATGTTTAAAGTCAGTGGCAGTAAAGATAATTCGAAATATCAGCGAGTCACGCACCTCCAGCTAAGTTTGCAATAAATCGACGGGTCTGATGGTCATGATGAGTGGAATCTAGCCCTATTTGCGCTAATACTAAGATTAACAGAACATTCGAAACAAAAAACTGACTATTACATTACAGGAAGATAGCAGAATGATAAATGCCTTATGTACGATTGCACTTACAAAAGGTAGTGCTCGTAATTAAGCGACCCGTTCAAGTGCGATAGAGGTAGCAAGCACATATAACTGAACTATGCTAACAAGTGCGAGATCCCGAACTATGTGGGACACGATTGCGCTCGAACAAGGGGTAAACGACGAAAGCAAGGGCATGATCACTAACACTTTACGTCTGCACTGCTGATACGACCTTCACAGTTCACCATTGGATGCCCTTGCCGAAAAAAATGAAGGTCAATCGTGACAAACTGCAAAAGCGTAAATCTCTTTATTCTCAATAGCTCATCCACTTGAGAGGCAAGCAACGGCTAATCTCACACACTCAAGTACCCCACTGTCCAATGCTGCATTCCTGCAATGTTCGGTTGGCAAAGTTGATTTCATAGACAGACTTATTCAAACGAATTGGTCTGTTTGCATATCAGGATTAAACAGCAAAACACACTCAAAAAATGCAAGCTAAAAGTAGGCATTCAATTCCTGCTTTTAATAACGTAGAAGTAATGAGATGTTCATTAATGTAACCCCAAAATATTTCATGCTGACATTTGCATAACTCCACTCGTGTCGCAGTGTGGAGCCTACCTGCTTATCCTCATGCTATTGAACCTCGAAATTCAATAGAGGATTAGCTGCAGAAACTTTATTAGGCATTGCATACGGAAAGAAAGAAAATAAGGAGTATAGATGAACCAAAAAGCAGGCATCACACAGAGTAGGGATTCTCACGCCCTTCTTGAACCGAATTCGTTTTCACCTTGATTTCTTGCATCTCCTTTAAATTGGCTAATTTAATATACTAGCACATTTTATACACAGGACCCCAAGATTTCCTACTAGGTAGAAGAAGGAACTAGGGTGGGTCGAATTCAAGTGTTCTAAAAGGCTAAGAAGAAATAGGGACTTGGCTTGGCTCAAAGACCAACCCAAATGTAAACAAGTAGGGCGGACGCAAGAGCAATCGTCAGATATACAGATAGGCACATAAACGAGTTATTACACACGCAATCACCAATTTGGCTGACCACATGACGCTTAAGAGTCACTTTGGGATTTGTCGGACACTTGTACATGTGGGTTGGCCCTTGGGCCATGCTCAGGTCCATTTGTTCTGTCGTCTTCACAATACATGTATCCAACTGCACTTACTCACTTAGTATACCGGCCAGGAGGTCTCGGGACGCTACACCCGTGACAGCAGAAGGCGAACCCGACATTTTGCTAACCACTGTTAGGTTTAAAGTGCTTTTGACGACCTTCCGCGCCAGCCGGGGTGGGGTCTCTCGCTGCGACAGTGTCCGCCAAAATCTATTGCCAAACAGGCACCCCTATCTTACTGACATCCTACATTTGTGTTGCCATACCTTGCAAATTAATCGACTGATTCACGAGCAAGCCGACGAGCAAGGCTTCCATCGGATGGTGCAATGCTTCAGCACCTACAAATCGCACGGAATCTGGAGATGTATGTCGCTTGTTCTTGGTGCTGATGCTCTGAGTTTGAGTATCCATAAGCCGGATGATCTGTTGAACACCAACCTCGGGTCCACTTGGCCGGAACTTCTAGGCCCCTCTTTTCACGACACGAAGTTTATAATCCAACCAGCAGA